AACACCTTGCTTCCCTTCCTGCCTGCCCAGCAGGACTTTGTAAGGGTGAGAGGCAGAGAAATCCTTTGCTAACAAGTTACTCTGTTACAACAATATAACCCAACATGCACATAGCCCAGGGACCCGCGTCCATCATTGTGGGGAGACAGACTTAACTGGCGTAAGTGCCAGAGAAGAGGGAGGGAAAAAATGTACTAGAACTCCTTCTCCTGAGCCCTTGTTCTCAAGGTCCAGACTTCAGGGGTGTCATGAGCTGTAAGGAGCCCCCAGGAGTCACCTTGGCCACAGAGCCATCATGTCTTCTAAATGGCAAGGGGGGGAGGCAGCAATGAGGTGCGAAGGATGTCACCGTCACAGGACAGGAGAAAAAGGCAAAAATGGGGAACAGGTCCCCCAGAGAGACCCAGAACTCAAAAGACATGCAAAACTATTTTGCTGCACTTCAGAGCTATATGCAAAGGTGACACAAACTATGACAGGCTTGGGTTGGGGCCTCTGAAAACAGATGTTTCCAAAGGAACAAGCTTAGCTATCTCCCCTCCCCGCCCTGATCTGGGCCTAGTAGCCTTGACTAAGCTGGTGCTCAGCTCTGCACCCCCATCCCCTCCCATTCCCTCGTCTTGGATAGCACAGCTGGAATCCACCACACAGATATAACCAGCCAAGTGACACTCCACAGTGGAGATGGTCTGGCTCTTGCTTGTCAAGGTGAAACGAGAGCAAATGGTATCATGCCCATGTACACGCACACACACACCGGTCCCATGAGACTGCCCACATGGCCCCCTGTCCTAGCCTCCACTGCCCAGGGGCTCCACTTCCAGCTTGTAATTCTCTACACTGTCCCCAGGGCCTCACTGATCAATACCATGTCGCCCTGGCTGGTCCAGTTCAGTCCCAGCTTGGGGGTCCCCAACTCTGCCCAAGAAAGAGGGCACAAGTCTGGGGAAGCCTCTGAGTGCAGTCGTGCAGCGTGCCCAGGCCGGCTGGGGTTGATGCCCGCTGATGGTGAGTCTCTGGCCTCCTGAGCTGGCGGAGGGCAGAGAAGGGAGGGAGAGGTGGCTTGGGAGCTGAGGGAGTTGACTGCCATCCCATTGTCCAACGGTCACAGCCTGCAGTGGGGAGAGGAGAGAGAAAGTGGGGAGGGATTGCATGGGTATGACAGTGCTGCCCTTTGAGAACTAGCAGCTTCTCAGAGGGCAGGTGATTTGAGATGAACTGTTTCTGTCTTTTACAAGGAAAAGTGGACAGGACTTCTATTTACTGAGGTCCTACTATGTGCTGGGCTCTGTACCAAGTGCAGCACATGCCTGATCTTATTTAAGCCCAAGAATATCCTCAATATAGGCACATTTTCACAGATGAACAAACTGAGGCTCAGAGAGGTTAAATGTTTTGCCCAAGGGTGCACAGCCAGGAAGCAGAAGGGTCAGAACCCAGAAGTCTTCCCACTTGAGCATGTAGCCTCTGAATTAGGGATGATCACCCAACATGTGGGCTGAAGTGAAGCCCCATAAGGGCTGGAGATACAGGACAAGGGGTGGGACCAGGACCCACACCACAGACTCCTGCTGTGCACAGAGGCTTTGCTGTCCACTGCGGCAAAGGGCCCTCATTTATTTTTGTCCGTCTCTGTATTCCCACTTCTAGACCCACTTCTACTATTCCCACATAGTAGATGTTTACTACACATGGGCTGAATTAAAAAAAAAAAAAGTGAATGAATGGGGGAGTGATGAGTGAGAAATTCCACTGAATTTAAAGTTCCATCAAGGTTTCTTTCCTGTTTTCTCAGAGCAGCTCCACAGAGAAATATAGGAATATAGTAAGGAAGGACCCTCTCTCCCTGCCAGAAACCTTTAAGCCCCTCTGTTCCATTGAACTCCTGCCTCTCCTTCCTGACCCCCAGGAGAGCAGAGGTCACTGGGTGATGGCCCAAATGACCTTTGAGTTTTGTAACACCAAACACTCCTGGGTCCTGCCTGGAGTTCTGACCCCAATTCTCCAGCTCCCTTATCTGGACAGAGTTTCTGCTTGTTAGTGCCTCTTTCTGTCTGTTTTCACATCCAATCTGTTCTAAATCCCCCCAGGCCGCCAGGCTAGGGCTCATCCTCCCTCCCGGCAGACAAGGGCTGCCATGGTACTGTGAGCACCTGCTATGTGGGAGGTGCCACACCAGGCGCTTTACCATGTGACCTCATTGGACCCTCACAGANAGGGAGGGAGAGGTGGCTTGGGAGCTGAGGGAGTTGAGTGCCATCCCATTGTCCAACGGTCACAGCCTGCAGTGGGGAGAGGAGAGAGAAAGTGGGGAGGGATTGCATGGATATGACAGTGCTGCCCTTTGAGAACTAGCAGCTTCTCAGAGGGCAGGTGATTTGAGATGAGCTGCTTCTGTCTTTTACAAGGAAAAGTGGACAGGACTTCTATTTACTGAGGTCCTACTATGTGCTGGGCTCTGTGCCAAGTGCAGCACATGCCTGATCTTATTTAAGCCCGAGAATATCCTCAATATAGGCACATTTTCACAGATGAACAAACTGAGGCTCAGAGAGGTTAAATGTTTTGCCCAAGGGTGCACAGCCAGGAAGCAGAAGGGTCAGAACCCAGAAGTCTTCCCACTTGAGCATGTAGCCTCTGAATTAGGGATGATCACCCAACATGTGGGCTGAAGTGAAGCCCCATAAGGGCTGGAGATACAGGACAAGGGGTGGGACCAGGACCCACACCACAGACTCCTGCTGTGCACAGAGGCTTTGCTGTCCACTGCGGCAAAGGGCCCTCATTTATTTTTGTCCGTCTCTGTATTCCCACTTCTAGACCCACTTCTACTATTCCCACATAGTAGATGTTTACTACACATGGGCTGAATTAAAAAAAAAAAAGTGAATGAATGGGTGAGTGATGAGTGAGAAATTCCACTGAATTTAAAGTTCCATCAAGGTTTCTTTCCTGTTTTCTCAGCGCAGCTCCACAGAGAAATATAGGAATATAGTAAGGAAGGCCCCTCTCTCCCTGCCAGAAACCTTTAAGCCTCTCTGTTCCATTGAACTCCTGCCTCTCCTTCCTGACCCCCAGGAGAGCAGAGATCACTGGGTGATGGCCCAAATGACCTTTGAGTTTTGTAACACCAGACACTCCTGGGTCCTGCCTGGAGTTCTGACCCCAATTCTCCAGCTCCCTTATCTGGACAGAGAGCAGCTCCACAGAGAAATATAGGAATATAGTAAGGAAGGACCCTCTCTCCCTGCCAGAAACCTTTAAGCCCCTCTGTTCCATTGAACTCCTGCCTCTCCTTCCTGACCCCCAGGAGAGCAGAGGTCACTGGGTGATGGCCCAAATGACCTTTGAGTTTTGTAACACCAAACACTCCTGGGTCCTGCCTGGAGTTCTGACCCCAATTCTCCAGCTCCCTTATCTGGACAGAGTTTCTGCTTGTTAGTGCCTCTTTCTGTCTGTTTTCACATCCAATCTGTTCTAAATCCCCCCAGGCCGCCAGGCTAGGGCTCATCCTCCCTCCCGGCAGACAAGGGCTGCCATGGTACTGTGAGCACCTGCTATGTGGGAGGTGCCACACCAGGCGCTTTACCATGTGACCTCATTGGACCCTCACAGATCTCCTGCTAAAGGGGTTTCACTGTCCTCATTTTCCAGAGCATGAAACTACAGCTCAGAAAGGCTGAGTGATGTGCCTAAGGCCACACGGCTATTAAGTGGTGGAGCACAGATACCAATCCATGTCTGTCTGATCGTGAAATCTGTGCTCTTTCCAATTGTCTGGGGAAATGCTGAGCCCTTGGGGGAAGAAGGGATTCCATCCTCCAGGTTCGGCAAGCTTAGATGGCAGGGTGAGGAGTGGAGGAGGGTCTCCTGATGCCCAGCCTCTGAGGCATCTGTTCTACAGGACGCTGCCTTGGGAAGCGTCCATGGGGTCCCCTGGGAAGACTCTGACAACTGCTGTGTTGTACTTGTGCATGCAGGAGGGAGTTTGTAGAAGTGCGTGCCTTTGTATATATTTCTGTGTGTAAGCATGTACTGGGGGGTAGGCACAGCAGTGCAGGTGTGCATATGCATGCGTGTCTTTGTGTATCATGTAATGTGACTGCATACCTGTGTGTGTACCTGAATTTGCCCATGTGTGTGGGCTTGAGTATAGGGTGTGTTTTCAATTGTGGATGGATGTGTGTGTGGATGTATCTGAGCGCACCTGTGTGTGGAGGTATGTTTTTAGGCACTGTTCCTGTGCCTGCATGTGTGTGTGTGCCTGAGTGTGTCTGTGTGATAGTGCATAAGCACGTGTGTCCGGGAGCAACTGGCAGAGCTGTGGGGAACAAGGCCCTCTCTGCAGCCTCATCTGGGCCCATCTCCCTCTCAGCTTCTTGAGAGACCCGTCACAGTGGCTGGGGCTGGGAAGGGGGCCCAGAGAGAGGCCACACTCAATATCTCAGGTAGGTCTAGGATCTCCAGCTACGGACAAGGGAGAGGGAGTGGCATTGAGCCTCTTGATGGGGAAGCCAGAGAGACACTTAGGGCATGGAGAAGCTGAGAAACTTTCCTGCCCTTGTGTTCATGTGATGGAGAATGCTGGAAGCTGAAAGCTGCCACGATGGGGCAGCCTGATGGCCCAGGAAGGATATTTCCTAGAAGCCAGGCCTTGCAGAGAGGTACCCCAGATACCTGGCATATGGGGCTTGGCAGGTTCAGGGCACCACCTCACCACATGATGTCCAGACTCACTGGGGCATCAAACCTGATCAGGAGAAGGTGAGCCATGAGGCAGCTGTGGTGGCCACAGGAGCCAGCGCCCTGCACAGCAGTCTCGAGCACCCAAACCCCAGAGCAGATGCCCCTCAACAGAGACCTGGTAAGGGAGGGTGGTGGCTGGGGGTGGGGATGGGTATAATTGGAAGGAGCTTGTTGGGGGAGGAGTTGGGAAGGGGAGCAAAAGGGTGACAAAGGCCAGAGGACAAGTGGTGGGGAGAGATGCTAAGGGAGAAAACCTACTCTGCAGACTTCCAGAAATGTCCGGGGTGAGACAGGCGGCGGTTTCGCTTTGGCAGTTTCTCCAGCATGTCCATGAGCTTGGTGAAGGTAGGTCTCTCTTCTTGCTCAAAGGCCCAGCAGAAGAGAAGAATGTCCTAAAAGAAACCAGTGTGTGGTAACTAAACATAAATGGTGACTTCTTGATTACTCCTTCACACCTTATTGGGTCTGTCCATTTGTCTACCCATTTGTTTCACTTCCATATTTCTTCATCATCCATCCATCCATTCATCCATTTATCTATCCATCTATCCATCCATCCATCCTTCCTTCCCCCAATACACTTTCAATGCTCATTTAGCAAATTAGGTAGGTCCTATGCTAGAAGGTCTGGGAAAAATTAAAATCAACAATACTACTCAAGGAGTTTCTTGACATTTTTCTCAAAAGGGAGGGATAAAAGAATCTTGAGGTCTCCATCCACCTTCCAGTACTTATAAGTACTCTTCAAAGTCACAGAGGAAAAAAGTTACTTTTAGTAATTTCCTCTCCTGAGAAAGGAAACCTAGAGGCAGGTAACCCTTACAAACATACCAGGTGATTACATACTCCTTCCCTGACTTATCTGCCTTCGATGAAAAGAGAGGATTCTTCCTGCTGTGTTTTAGAGGAAGATTATCAATCTATATTCAGGCTTCTCTGTTTCTGCATATCTTAAGATCTGATGATAGCACCTCAAAATGACTATGTAGATGCAAATACAATTAGAACCATTAATATTCATGATATTTTAATGAATATCTTTCAAAAATAGAAAAAGAGGGATTCACTGGTTCTACCTGACTGAGCCATTCATTGCTAACAAAAACAAAAACAAAAACAAAAAACTTGGCCAGCTGTTACTGTGCGCCTGGTGGAAGGCACGTAAAATTGCAGGCATAGTGCAGAGGCTGTGACTTCTAAGCTCCAAACCTTTATCTGACAAGGCTGCAGGACATGCTTTTTTTGGTCATCCTCTGGGAAAGCATTTATAACCTTAACACACAGGAAAAATAAAGCCCAGGACTATGTCTGCTTCTCCTCGTGTCCCCCAGACCTGGCACTATCCCAGGACTTACCGAGATTTCTTTTCCCATGCCAATCTGGCTGAGGTTGGGTTTCATGCCTGTGCCCATTTGCCAGATTATTGCCTCTGCTGGTTGGGTCTTGAAAGGCCACTCCCTGGCATGGAGTTCATACCAGATTGTGCTGTTGGCAGATGTTGTTAGAGGGGTGTTAGTGTGGTATGTCACTCACAACCCTGCACCTGCTCACCACACATGCCCACCCAGCCATTCTTCTCCCGTTTCTTCCTCATGGGGTTGCTATTTTGCCAGCTAGGACATGCTTAAAGCTTTCTTGATGTCTTAGAAATCATGCTTATTCCTGAATACCTTATCTGTTGCCTAAATTAAAATGAATCAAAACCTAGAACCTGAAGAGTTTAATATAAAGTGGTTAGGATCTCTGATCTCTATATTTGTAATTTTAGGATACCATTGTAAGTGCATAATTAGGGATAAAGACAAAAACTGATTTACAAAAATGTTCTCTACAGCATTATACTTGTCTATAAAATTGAAAAAAAGGAGAAATAACACAATTGTTCAATAACAGGAGCTGGTTGTGTGTATTATGGTAAATCTATAAAATGAAATGAAATGCTATATTAATATTAGAACATTTCAAAGAAATTTTGCTGATGTGGAAAAACTGCTCAATATGTAATTTTAAGTGAAAAAAGCAGGACATGAGACTATAGGTGAGATATGATGTTATTCTTTAAAATCATTATATATGTATGGACAAGAGAATAAAGTGAAACAGCCAAATGTTGACAATGGCTAATTCTGGTGATAGGACAGGATTTTTTTTTTCTTTTATACTTGTGTTTTCCAAGTATGAACCATCCTGTGGAATGTTGGAAAGAAAAAATAAAAAAGATCTGAGTCAGACTGACTTGGGTTCAAGTCCTAATTTTATACCATACTAGTTAAGTACTATAACACTGGGTAGGTCACTTGACTTCTCTGAGTATAGGTTCCTTATCTGCCAAATGAGAATAATGATAAAATTGCAGTGGAAAAAAACGTGTCTGGGATGCTGAATGCCAGAACAACTTGGTGATATAAAATACTTCTAGAGGGACTTACTATGTTGTCATCTGTTTTATAAATCATGGCATTGTAATGAATGCAGAAAGGATGGCCCAGTGAGTAGCCTGTGACTATGCAGGGGGTGTTGGGCCAGGTGGTGCATAAATGATGAGGTAGGCGTGTGCAGCAGTGAGGACGGTGGTGGGAGGTCACTGAGCTGTACCCTGGGGATAGATCTCAGTTCTCTAAGAACAAGATCCCCAACTCTGGAAATACCCGAAACGATCTTAGGAAATGATCTTTCCTCCACTCTAGGATAATTTATGTAAATTTGCTTTAAAGAAAGGAAGCACTCTGTTGTCCTCTTTACTGATCAGGGGACTGTGTCAAACCAGCTATTCCTAGGGTTTTATTTCTCAGCTAGCATCTTCTTTTCACCCAACAACCTCATACTTCTGGGGTGGGGAGGGCTGGTGATGCTCAGGTGCTGGGATGTTGAATTAGACTATCAAGAAGCTCTCAAGAGAAGGTGCTAGATGACTATAGTTATCATAATAAATAATAATGTGTATTAAGTTTTTACTCTATGCTAGACACTATTCTAAGCCCTTGGCTGGGGGAAGTGTGTTCACTAGGCCGTTTTATTCTGATGCTCTGATTACTTGGGGCCTTGCTGACCCTGGGGGGACTGCCTCTCCTAGGGCTGGCCAATTCCCAGAGAGAATAAAGAACTTACCTGTGAGTGTGCCTTTTACATGCAAATGAAACAATCCAGAGCCCATACCCCCGCCCACCTCCTTTAAAGGCTTTCAAACTCAGGGCCAGTATTCCTCAATCCTCACATCCCAGAACCCACTGAAATTATGCAAACCAGCCAATTCTAAGCCTGCTTATGCTGCCTCACCTGCTCTTTCCCAAGAAAACCACAATAAGGCTTTTGTTCACGTTTTCCTCTCACTTCTTCTGCCTCCTGACTGATCCAGTGCTTCCCCTGTGACCCTTGCTTGGTGTGCTGTGCCCTCTTCCTTTTGGGAACTGTGAGTAACAAACTTTCTTTTCCACGGCAACTCTGCCTCCTGACTGATCCAGTGCTTCCCCTGTGACCCTTGCATGGTGTGCTGTGCCCTCTTCCTTTTGGGAACTGTGAGTAACAAACTTTCTTTTCCACGGCAATTTTTGCCTGATCTATTTATTGGCCTCATCATCCCTGAATAATAATAAAACCTACATTTTAAAACAGGAGGCATGATTATTCTCTGCATTTTACAGATAAGGAAACTCAGGAGGCTCAGGAAGGTTACCTGTCTTACCCAGGAAGACCCAGCAAATAAGAGGGACAGCCAAAGTTGAACCCAGTCCACCTGACTCCAGAACTTGCCATATACTGCCCCAGGAAGCTTATCCTCCATCCTATTCAAGAGTCCTTTGTAATCAGGGAAGTGAACTGTTTGGGGGTGCAACCTTGCAGTTGATGGTGGGAGCTTGGCACAGGAGGAACAGGAAGACTGCATGCACCACTTGTGTGAAAGAGGGAAGGGTGCCTTTCAGGAGTTTTTCCCTGTGCTGGATGCCTTACACTCAATCCTTACAATGCCTCAATGGGTTTTCTTAATCTTGACTTACAGGTGAGAGACGTAGGGCTTTGAGTGTCAAAAATTACTCCCAATTCCATTGGGGTTCCATGGTTAAAAGTTCAAACTCTGGAGCTAGGATGTTCCAGGTTTGAATCTCAGCTTCACCACCACTTACCATAAGGCAAGTCATTGACCCAGTTGGGATCTCAATTTTCTCACCTGTCAATTGGGAACTGTACAATACCTGCTTCAAAGGGGGTTTATAAAGATTCCAGGAGATGATGCACATAAAAAGCTTATCACAGTGCCTAACATACTTTTAAAAGTTTACTTTTGTTCTAAGTCATTCCTGAGCATGAGGTTCCCAAGCAACAAGATGCACCTAATTGGCAGGAAACCGAGGACGCCAGGTCCTTCAGAATTCAGCAGTGTCAGAAATAAAAGCCTCATTAAAACTTACTTTCAAACCTAATTTTCAAGAGAAATTCACTTCAAGGAAAGAAAATATTGCTAAAGATGAAAACAGCAGTGGAAAACCAATTATTTACTTTGGTACATTTTGTTAATTACATTTTTTTCTTTTGCTAAATTTACACTAAAAGATATCAACTTAATTATTGCAATTTGGTTTTAGATAACAGTATCTAACTAGATAAAGATTGGAACGTAAATGAATCAGGGCAAGTGACAGCCTCTAAAGGGACCCAAGCAACAGATGTGGAGAATTCTGATCTTCCAGAAAACACCCCCTAAGCGGTTTACAATGAGTCTGTATACTGGATCTTATATCTCCAGCATCTAGCACACAGTGAGCATCTAATGAATAGCTATTGAATAAATGAATGTATGAATGAGTCAGGTAACTTGTCATGACCACATAACCAGTTCTAACCAGGCATGCAGGTTTGTTAGGGTCATTCTTTCTACTACACCCCACTCAGATCCATCCAATCTCACCCAGAAATCCAGCCACCTTGGCCCCTGAAGACAGGTGTGCTGGCCCTTCTGGAAGCATTGAAGGAAAGCTTGGGAAGTGACCTCTGCCCAGGTTGTGGCTCTCGAAGGCCAGGGTAGAGCCCACCTACCCTAGTGCAAAGACGTCAGAGTGCTTGGAGAAAGGGAGCTTGTCCTCCTCCGTGTCAGGGGACAGCTGGCGGATGATCTCGGGCGCCAGGTGGCACAGCCAGCCATTCTGGATGCGCAGTTTGTCCTCCCGCCTGGAGAAGTAAAGCACGGAATGAGCTCCATTCACAGCCCAGGGAGGGCCAGTCCTCCTAGCACTGAGCCCAGGTCCCCAGAACCGGCTCTGCAGGATTTCTTGCTTTCCTCCATTGAGCACTGCCTGACCTTCTCCTGGAGGCTGAGACTCAGTGAGACAGAGATGCAATACCCAAGCCATCATCGGGTCCCATTGCCTTGGAGGCACCCATCTTGTCCATCTTCACTTGACAAATACAGTCGATTCTTGATACTCATGATAGTTATGTTCTATAAAGTCACCATGAACACTGAATTAGTGAATAGTGAATCCTTGCTCCTAGGGAAAATATGTACACATATACATCTCACGTAGATTATAATCTTAAATCCTAAAAACAACTCATCCTAGTAGATTCTATTTTCTTTATTTTACCAAATAGAAAATGGGGTTCAGAAAGTGTTAAGTGGCTTGCCAAGGTGGCCCCAGTATTCAAACCTCATTCAAGTGGCCCCAGAGTTGCAGCTTCTAATATGACCCTGCATTGTCCCCTCTGTCTCTACACTCTGGCATGTGTGTATGAGGCTGAAACAGGAAGACAGAGAGATACCCTGTTCGACCTCCGCTAGAACACGTGTATCGGGTAACTCAAATCTGTCACCACTCTGCATGTCTGTGAAAGACTGCAAAGGCGCTGTGGGTTCTGATTTTGGTATTACAAATACATTTCATTGAGTAGGCGAATTTGCAAATATGTGAGCAATGAAGATCAACTGTATTTATCAACCACCAACTGTGCCTAGGTTCTGTTCTCAGCACAAGGGACATGGCAATGAACAAGACCAACAAGGTTCCTGCCCTCCTAGAGCTTGTGCTTTGATAGGGGAAGGAGGTGATGAATTAATTAGATAAATAGGAAAAATACAGATTGGGATTAGTGCTATATAAAGAATCAAAACAGAGGAATGTATCAAAGATAAGAAGAAACTTATTGTAGGTAAAACATGAGCTAAGATCTATATGACATAAAGGATTGAGCCATATGAACAAAGAGAATATTCCAGGCAGAAGGGAGAGCTAGGACAAAGGCCCAAGGCAGACTGCATTTGGGGTGTTCTAGAGACCTAAAGGACACCAGTGTCATTGAAACATATCATGCCATCCTATGTATCAAAATGTATACAACCAACTCCTTGCCGATGAGCATTAGGTGGATCTCCCTTCACCATTATAAACAATGCTGCAATGAACATCTTTGGGAGATACTGCAAATATCCCCCTTCACCGACATTGATGGCTATTCCTTAAGTTAAATTCTTAGAATAGGAAGGAGGTTGGCTCCCTCCTATACACTAAGTCCTTAGCAAGTCAAAGGTTTCCATTTGGGACTGAAACTTGAGCAGATTTCACCTCCCATGAGCTGAGCAGATTTCACCTGCCATGAGATTTTCACTGATTCAAGACTCCTGGGAAAGCACTAGTTAACACAGGGAAGTGGACAGTGGTGGGAGAGAGTGTGGATATCTCGAACCATCAAGAGTGAGATCATGAAGGACTAGAGTCTCTTGAATGAAGGTCTGTGTGAGGACCTGGGGCTGGCTGGATTCTACAGTTCTTCCAGGGTGGGATTCTGAGCTGTGTGAGGTGACACACTTGAGCAGATTTCACCTCCCATGAGATTTTCACTGATTCAAGACTCCTGGGAAAGCACTAGTTAACACAGCGAAGTGGACAGTGGTGGGAGAGAGTGTGGATATCTCGAACCATCAAGAGTGAGATCATGAAGGACTAGAGTCTCTTGCATGAAGGTCTGTGTGAGGACCCGGGGCTGGCTGGATTCTACAGTTCTTCCAGGGTGGGATTCTGAGCTGTGTGAGGTGACACACTGCTCCCTTAAATGCAACCATTCATATCCCATAATCATGATTTTTGCCATATCTAAACACCTTCAAGAGCAGTGTTATCCAACAGAACTTTCCATGATGATGATGGAGACAGTCTCTACCTGTGCTGTCCAATATGGCAGCCACCAACCACCATGGCTGTTGAGCACCTGCGATGTAGCTCGTATGACTGAAAAAGCAAACTTTTAATTTTATTTCATTTTAATTAAAGTTAAATTTATGTAGCCACACACGGCACGTGGCCACCAAACTGGACGACACAGATCTAGACTATAAAATGAATTTTTTTTACTTAAATTTATTTTAATAGGTCACTTTTTAGTATGGCCATACGAAACTAGCACTTTTCTAATACAAATGAAAATTAAGATAGAAAATGTTTGTTCACGTCCTCCCTAAAATTGACTTGCAGACCACACTTTCAGAAATACTGGGTGAAGAAAAGAACCCTGAATGAGACTCCAGGAGTTTGGGGTTCAGGTTCTGGGGCTGCTGCTACAGTCACTATTCCAGAACTGCAGTTCTCCAGGCTTTCTCTCTTCCCTCCTCCGTTTCACACATGAACATAGCACCCATTTCGAGATACTCAAATTTTGGTAGAAATCCAAACAAGGCTTGTGAGAAAAGAAGCAAAGCTGAATAATTGCCTCTATCACAACTTTTCATTGTGTCTGGATGGTGACAGCACAGGTGTGCCAGGCCAGGACACATGTAATTTTTTTATCTTGAGAAGTCAGAAATGGAGTTGAGACTAGAGCCCTAAGTAAGAATGTCCTCCTTCCAAGGAAGAGAGGCCTTGGCATGGGCCAAACAATATTCTCCTGGCATGACCAGGACACTGGGGGTGAGGAGCGCAAATTCTTCTGCCCAGAGGCCTAGCTTCCTGGTCCCCACCTCTCTCAGATGCCCCTGTCACCTTGTCCTGACATATCGTGTTGGTCAAGGACTGGCATCATGGGGTTAGGGGAGGAGGAGGAGCAGTGGCATTAAAATAATCATTAGTCTAGGGTGGGTGTGGGCACATGCCTGGGAGGGGGGCCACAAACCAGGCCATGCACAGACGCCCTAGGGTGTCCTGTTCCCATGGCGATGGGCCCATTGGTGACAAACCCAAATCATCTTCATTATGGTTATTATTATGATTAATAACAGGCTGCGAGTAGCTGGCACAATACGCTGGCATCTTAAATGACACCTTTTCTTAACAATGGCAGAACAGCTGTATGCCGGGGTCCATTTGGATGCTCAAGACACACTCGCTTCACTGGACCAACCTTTCACCCCCTCCCCACCCCAGGCCCAGGAGGTCTCCCCCGCTGGGCACCAAAGGCTGTCAACACCCCAAGCTCTAACTGAGGAGAGGGCAGGAAGTCAAGGAACTCCTGCTGAGTGCCTACTGTATGCCAGGTTATCTATCTCACTTAATCCCCATAAACCCACAATCTGAGGGATATAATCCCTGTTCTATGCATGAGAAAACAGAGGCTCAGAAGTGACCTGCCCAGAGTCTCAGAGTAATAAGTGACAGAGCTAAGATCTGTTTGATTGCAAGTCTTCAAAATCCCAGAGACTAGACTCACCACAACTCTCACGAATTCCTGGAGAAATAGCACCATCAGGGAGCAAAGCCCTAAACTAAACCCTTCTCATCTCTGTCCCATTTAATCTTCCAAACAGCCTTATGAAACAGTTACTATTAGTGCCTAACCTCCCTCCCCCGTTTTACAGGTGAGGAAACTGAGGCTCAGGGAGTCAAATGTGCGTTAAATAAAAATAAGTTTCTGTACTCTATTTTGTGGTGTTATGAACAAATAGTGTCCACTCCCCCATTCCTGCCACCTTTCATAAATTGAAGCCCTAACCTCAATGTGACTGTATTTAGAGATAGAGCATTTAGATAGGTAATTAAGGTTAACTGAAGTCATAAGTCTGGGGCCCTAATCCAATAGGACTGGTGTCCTTATAAGAAGAGGAAGAGACTCAGAGATTCTCTCTCTCTCCCTGTCCACGAGTGCACAGAGAAGAGGTCACATGAGGAAACAGCAAGAAGGGAGCCATCTGCAAGCCAGTAAGAGAGCCCTTACTGAATTTGCTCAAAACTGAATTTGCCAGCACCTTGATCTTGGACTTGCAGCCTCCAAAAATGTGAGAAAATAAATGTGTATTCTTTGAGCCACCCAGTCTGTGGTATTTTGTGACAGCAGCCCAAGCTGACTAAGACGTACAGTAAGCCCTCACTCAATATTTGCTGACTGGCTGAATGAATACATAAGCAAGGGAACTTTCAGGCCTGTCTCCTGAGCACTGATTTACCCTGCTTTCAGCAGTGCCCTCAGCCTGGCCAGCTCCTCTCTTTCCTCCTTTAATCCAGGCCCGAGGCTACCAGCCAGGGCCATGGATGCCCCGTGTTCAGGGGGTGTCTCCTGGTCCCTGGCTGCTGTATTGGGGGCTCCAGTCTGCACCTGAGGCACTTACTGCCTGGACACGCTTATCACAAACAGAAGGCAGGAAACTGTGACCTGACCCCACAGGGGAACCTGTGGAGCCCCAGGGCTGCCCTGGAGGTAAATATTAAGGCAAGTCTACTAAATGGGAAAGGTCCTGGATTATATGGGGTATCCCAAGAGTTCCACCTCCCTGTCATGGTCCCTATCATGGCTATGGGACTGTGGTAGATAAATGAAAGATGGCTACACAGTCTTTGCTGTCCCTCCCATTGAGAGGTGGAGTCTAATTCCACTCCCCTTGAATCTGCCCTGGTCTTAAGTGACCGGTGGTGGAAGGGAGATGTTCTAGGACTTTTGAAGCTAAATCATTAGAAGGTTTGCAGTCTTCCCCTGGAACTTATCAACATTCACTCTAGTGAAACCCAGTTGCTAAGAAGTCTGATTACCGAGACCACCATTATGTGAGGAAGCCCAATACAGTCATGCAGACAGGTTTCATGGAGGGGGAAAAGGAGGAGTGCATGAGAAAGAGAGAGGGAAGGTGAGAAAGAAAGTAATAGAGAGAAAGAGGGAGAGATGCCCCACCAGCCTCCCAGCTGTCCCAGCCATCCCGGTCCAGATGTGAGAATAAGGAAGCCTTTGGGTGACTCCAACTTCAACCCCATCTACATGACAGCCTGAGCCCAAAAGCTCAGCTGAACCCAGGCAACCCACAGAACCATGAGGGATAATCATAACTTGTTTAAGCCACTAAGTTTGGAGATGGTTTGGTAAAGCAACAACGTGTAACTGGTGGAACCAGTTAAAAGCACAGGAAGCCACTGATAGCTACTTGCGGGTAGCTGAGAAATGTGCATTTCTTGTTGGCAGCTGTGGCTGAGGCTCCCTGGCCTCTCCTGATGTTAACTGGGTTTGTGTTACAGCCAGGCTGAGCAGGGGTGGGGAGGGGGTGCTGTTTGGACACTGAGGCCAGAAGCCACTGCCCTTGACTTGGTTGAACTCCGTTCCTGGTTGGCATCAGGTCTCCATGAGTGAACTAAAGGAAAGGATGCTCACATCATTCCATTTCCTTTTTCCTTCTTCTCTTTGGTGGCTTCAGAAAACCAAGAGTCTAAACAAAGAAAATCAGAGGCCCTTTGCCCCTTTCCTCCCCTTTCTCCTCCACTGGCAAGGAGAAAAGGAGAGAGGATGCACTTGCCACCAGGAGGGAGGAATATCTGGGCTTTTAAAGAACCAGGTTAAAGAAACACCTGCCGGGCCTCCCTTTGTCTCGATGCAAAAACCTGGGTTCACAGTGATGTCACCAATTGCCTCCTCTCTCCTGATCCTGGGGCACTGGGAAGCGGTGGATGTATAATTCCCCTACCAGCAAACAGGAACTTAACTGCTGCTGGGGAGTCAGAGGGAGGGCCTCCCTTTGTCTCGATGCAAAAACCTGGGTTCACAGTGATGTCACCAATTGCCTCCTCTCTCCTGATCCTGGGGCACTGGGAAGCAGTGGATGTATAATTCCCCTACCAGCAAACAGGAACTTAACTGCTGCTGGGGAGTCAGAGGGAAGAAAGAATCCTACCCAATCTAGCCCTCCTGGCTTCCTGGGTTCCATCTCGCAGGACTCTCTCCATCTGTCTATTGATCTATTTCTTTATTTACTGCCTGCTTATTTTCCTATCTAAGGCACTGCAGATAGTTTTGGAGATGGTGGTGAATTCTTTTTGAGTGGAGTAAAATCTGAAAAAGAAACTGAAGCTTCTGTTTGTTACTGCATCACACTGAAACAGCTCCATGAAGTTTCGCTGAATTTCAGATGGTGTGACTTGAATTCAAGATACTACAAGCATACAGCACAAATAGAATTCATTCTGGGGGGCCCTAGGGCATATTGCAAAGAAATCAGTGGTTCTCCAAAGCAGCTGAAACTGAAATAAAATGAGAGAAATCATGGATGTGTTTCTGGAGAGATGCAGCATTTGTTATAAGATGCATGATTAGAAAAAACACACAGGGGTGTGTGTGTGTGCATGTGTGTGTGCAAGCACACACTCCAAATTAAAAGTCACCAGAGTAAGCCTTAGGAATTATGGGTTGTTTATTTGAGATCAAGCTGTTTTTCACATGGTCAATTCCATGTGGCTTGCTCTGAGGTGAGTGGTGGCTGAGAGTTAATTACTTAATGAGAGTTAATGATTCTCCTGGGTGATACTGGGGATGTATATGCAAATTTATACTAATTACAACAGCTCAGCAGCAGTGACTATTTGTAGGGTCTTGATGTGCACTGTGCTGGGTGCTTGATGAGTGTTATCCCATTTTATCTTCACAAGAACCCTGAGAGGTAGGCATCATCATATCTACCATTTTTCTCGCAGACAAGAAAACAAGTTGCACAACTTGACTAAAGTCACTGTTAATAAGTGGCAGAGGCCCAACGGCCCCAGGTGGGTGTGACTTTAAATCCCTTGCTCGTAACTGTTCTCCTGCTATACTAAAATCTATAATTCCTAAGAAAACTTTGCGTGAAGGCTCCTGGATGATCCCAACTTCTAGATGAGTGCCTGGGGTAAAGGGAGAGTCCTCCAGTTAAATTTAAGGCCAAGTGTTTGAAGGATTTGGGGATGTTCTGTGCCCAATCACGGCACTCAAGGGCACCATTTGCAAGACAGGTGAGCAAGGTGCTGCCCCCATGAGAATAAGAGCATGACCTTGGCATTCCTCACCAGCATAGCAGCCTAGCCACTCAACTCAGTGATATCATAAAGATGAGGCTGCATTTCCACAGAAACAAACGTTCCCAAAACGTTGAGCTGAAAACACTAAAAACACAGTTCACAAGCACATGAAAGTATGAAACAGGACTAGAGCGATTACTGTTCACTTTTTGCATGTTACTTGTCTAACTAGAGAGTCCAACTTAATATTCATCTAAGGTAAGCAGAGCTCCTTTAAACGGTATGAGCTTTTCCTGTACATTCTGTGGGGATGAAAATCTTACCCATCACACACACACAGTCTGCCTCTCTCTCCCTATCCCCCCCTCCCACCCACACACAAAATAATGATCAAAGTTTATAAGGAGAACAAAAGACGTTTTTACATTTTCTTCAATAACATAAAAAAGTAATGTTCTTAATAACAAAGATCTGCACACTGCAATCCTATGCACCTCTCAATGGTCTCTCCATCCAAAAATCACTGTTAAAATTTTGCTTTCTTTATGTGTGTTAATTGTAAGCACATAGGATTGCATCATTTTGTTCACTCCATAATACATCTTAAGCGTCTTTCCATGTCAGTATGATATCAAGTTAGGGGATATTATGTTAAATCGTTCCCTTTTCCTCACTGCATGGATGTACCATAAAAGTTACACACTCCCTGAACTGGCACTGAGCTGTCTCGATGGCACAGTCCTTATGAACTCAGATACTTAAGGAGACGGGGAATGGCAAACTGGAAACAACTTTGCTGTGTTCTTCAAACTGACTGAAGTCATGCTATGCCTCAATAAACAATGTTTTTCATTACATAGCTGATAGTTAATACTCTCAGGTTGTAGTGGCATGTATGCTGTCCTCAATAATGATAAAGGATTTCTGCCATATCCTAATTCCTTACTCATGTTTACCCTCTATTTCCTTTACTTCTTCCTCAAAGGAGTCTTGATCTCCTATGAACGTGTATTCTGAAGTCTGCCATGTGGCACACTACTGTCCCCTGGTCTGGAACTCAGGACACTGTGCTTCACACAGTGAGATCATAGGGAGAAACGAATATGTAATAGAGTGTTCTTGGCCAGTTTAACACATATTCACACACAGCTTTGAAGGAAAATGTGTCACAATCAGTGCCACATAGGTGGTGTTAAAAAGGCACACAAATAGATGTTTGTTGAAGGGAAACTAAAGCCTCGGTACAACAGACTAATACGGCGTCTGCCAAAAACACAGGATGCTGTCGTGGGTTTTCATCCAAAACAGCACCCAACAATTTGATGCTTCTCAGCAGCGTGGAGAGAGGAAACAAAAGCCTCGGTACAACAGACTAATACGGCGTCTGCCAGAAACACAGGATGTTGTCGTGGGTTTTCATCCAAAACAGCACCCAACAATTTGATGCTTCTCAGCAGCGTGGAGAGATGACTTGCACTCATGGGAATTCAAGGGCTCAGGGGACAAGGGATCCTAACCAAGAGAATTGCGCAACTATATGTGTCACCTGAACCACAGCGATGAGGCACCAGATGGACATCAAACATTGGCAGACCATTCCTATCGGTTTTATCTAGGCAGGATTCTTCCTTACACATGGCCTGGTGTTTTTCAAGTCAAGTCTAATTTCTTTTAAGTCCAGACTGGTGGTTTGAAGCCAGACCGTGAGTCTCAGGAGGGGGTTGGGGTTTTCTGAGGTTCAGGTGGGAGGCCCCAGAGCCTACTGTACCTTCACGATTTCTTGGGCAATCTGTCTGGTTTTGTTGACATCCAAGACAATCTTGGCATCCCTCACCACAGAATAGAGTGTTCGTCCCTTGCAGAGGCTGAAAAGCAAAAGGACAAGATTACTGGCAGTTGTTAAGAAGAGGGTGGCTCATGACAATTCTTACAAGCGACGAATAATTGAGTGGACATGTGGACACACCACCATTGTGCCTACGAGATAACAGGCCTGGGACTGGACCTCAGACCTGGTTCTGGGATGGAGATCTGGAAGGAAATTCTTGTAGATTCTTTAGAAACTTCACCAAGTGGCTGGCATGCAAGGACACTGCAGAATGTACCCTAGTCCAGAAATCCGTTTGCCATGTCCAGTCTGTCCCAGAGTCTCACAGCTTTCCAGCTGTGTATAAACCAACAACTTGTGAGTCCTCAGACAACACTCAGACAGCACTCTGTCGGCCATTCATCCCAGCTGCTCCCACTCACCGGGAGTCGCCAGTGTGCGGGGACAGTGATGAAAGACCAGCAAAGCCGTAGCTGATGTGCACTAAGCATCATCAGCAAATGATGCATTCAATCCCTCAGACAGGGGTGTGTCAGCACCAATAATACCGCCCCAAACCAGACGCCTGTGTAGATGGAGGGTTTTCAAACCATTTTCAGCCTCATTGAATTCATTTCAATGACCAGAGGTTTAAGATGAATGACAGGATGAAAGGGGCATTATGCAGTGAAAGTAACACCTTGTCATTTAGTCACCTGCGTGCTCGCCCATCCTGTTCCTCTGCAGGGAGCCCAATTCCCGGCACACACAGAGCAAGTGCTTGAGAAGCACCACTGAATGAATGAATGCATGAATGAATGAATGAATGCATGAATGAATGAATGAATCCTAGATTCACCATAGCATCCCCAGCCCCTAGCAGTGTGACCAGCTTACAGTATCCAGTGTTGGCCGAAGAAGAATGTCATTATGAAAATAAATTTTTATCTATGTCAAAAATCACAGCTTAAGTTTTTTCTTTTAATCTTTGATTTTGTTGCTAAAATATTTTAGGTATTTATGGAGCCCCAGTTGTATAGTGGACGTTGCTGAGACCGTATTTCCTGTGGTTGAAGCAAAAACGCTGCTATCAGAGGGATCTCAATTCAAATCACATTGCTGCTCCTTCCTTCCTATGTGTCTTTGGGTAGGTTACTTAACCTCTCTGGGCCTCAGTTTCCTCATCTATCAAAGGAAACTAACGATACTCACCTTGTAGTTTAGTGAAAGGATTGAGTGAGATAAAGAGTTCACTAAAGTGCCTGGCACCTGGAGAGAAGTACAGCACAGTGGTTAGGAGCATAGAGGTCTATACTCAGACTTTGTGAGGTTAGGATCCTGATCTGTCATTTAGTGGCCATGTGACTCTGTGACTCTTAACCTCACTGAGTCTCTGTCTCGTTATCTATAAAACAGGGCTGACAGTTTCTGCTTTGAAGAGTTGTTAGGAGAATCACATGAAATCAGGTGTGCAAAGGTGTAGGTACCTCTTCATGCCTAGCACATAGTAAGTGCTCATGGAATGTGGCTATTATGAGATGAATGTGGCTATTAGTAAATGACCAATAAAATGGTGAACATGCAAACTTGTGCAAGTATATATAAATGATACATTTATACACATAACACATTCCGTCTGTCCATCCATCCATCCATCCACCCATCCACCCTATACCCTTCCAAAATGCTACCTATAAAACCACCCATGCCCTCTAAGATTGATTTCTTCACCTGCTTAAGGTGAGATTCCCCAGGGTAACTGACTCACAGGGGGTCTGATTCACGTGTCCAAGGTCACCCAGTAAGTTGGCAGGAGGCGATCTTTGATGACTCAAGGCTGCTCCCCTACTCCCACCCCCTACCACCCTTTGCTGTCCCAGACAGTGTGTTTACTGTGGCTGCTGAGGAGAGGTGGAGGAAGGGTGGGCTGAGCAACCAATTAATCCACATTGACATTTAAATATTCGAGATGGCAGAGACTGTGGGTGGATTCCCTCCCCTGGATACTTCGTTCTTGAACAGCCACCTACACTCATTACAGGCCAGAGCCCAGAAAGCACCCTCCCCTGCAGACGGCAGAACAAATAACCACAACAGGCTCCAAGAATCCCCGTGTCTCCTGCTCAGGGTAACTTCATGAAACTTGCAAACATCAAGTTTCCATGCCTTGTCTTCTTTCCTTGCTCACATCCTCCTTTCCAGCAGCAGAGGCTAAAGTCTTTGCTTCTCTCACTACCCTATGGCCCCTGGAGCTGCTGGACAAACCAGCACTGAGTGTGTAGTGTAAATTGGTACAACCACAATTTGGCACATCTACCACAGTGAAACATACAAATAATTCACAACCAGCAATTCCTCCCTAAGTATGCACCCAACAGACACGAATACTCATATCCATCCCCAAACATGTACTAGAATATACTAGAATGTTAATAGCAACCCATCATAATAGCCCCAAACTGTAGCCAACCTGCAATGGACCGAATATTTGTGTCCTCCTAAAGTTCATATGTTGAAATCTCAATCCCAATGTGATGGTATTAGGAGGTAAGGGCTTTGGGAAGTGATTAGGTAATGAGGGTGGAGTCTTCACAAATGGGATTAGCGCCCTTATAGAAAAGACCCCATAGAGCTCTTGTGCCCTCTCCCTGCCATGTGTGGATATGACAGAGGTGGGCAGCAGGCAACCCAGAGGAGGGACCTCACCAGAACCCAGCCACACTGGCATCCTGATCTCAGACTTCCAGCTCCAGAACTGTGAGCAATACGTGTCTGTTGTTTATAAGTCACCAGTTATAGAACTTTGTTATAGTAGCCCAGATGGACTAAGACACAACCCAAATGTTCATCAAGAGAAGAATGGCTACATTGTGATATATCTGTCTAAGAAAATACATTCATACTGTACTATATAAAAATAACCAAACTACTCCTAACAGCAAAAAGTGTGGATGAAGCTCACAACATAATGTTGTATGAAGGAAGTCAAACACATAAGACTACTGAACAATTCCATTTATGTAAAGGGTAAAAGCAGACAAAACTGCTACTAAAACTCAGCACAGTGGGACCCTGTGTGTGTGTGGCTGGGGGAGGCTGGAAGGGGCTGGGGCAGGTGAAGTGCTGTGTTTTCATCTGGGTGCTGGTTCCATGGCCATGTACTTAGGGAAAATTTGTCAGTCTGTGCTCTTATGATCTGGACACTTTTGTGTATGTTATCCTTCCAAAAATATTTTTAAAAGTTAGCTTCAAAAAATTAGTGAGGAAAGGATGAACAATTAAATTTTCAGCACCGTCAGTCTGTGATCTTATGATCCGGACACTTTTGTGTATGTTATCCTTCCAAAAACATTTTTAAAAGTTAGCTTCAAAAAATTAGTGAGGAAAGGATGAACAATTAAATTTTCAGCACATGGTGCTGAAATTTAAAAGAAAATCTAAACCAACACTGATACCCAACGCATTCATTTCTAAACTCTTCACATAGTGAAAAGTATCTGCAGATGGCAGTGTCTGTAGAGAATTTGGGGCTCCAGGCCTGGCTGTGCCCACCCAGGTGTTTATTGGGGACTAAGATGGAGGCAGGGCCAGCCCCAAACGGCTCACCTACCAGCCTCTGGTAACCACCATTCCACACATAAGTGAGATCATGTGGTATTTGTCTTTCTCTGCCTGGCTTATTTCATTTAACTTAATGTCCTCTAGGTTCATCTGTATTGTTGCAGGTGACAGGATTTCCTTCTTTATAAAGGCTGAATGGTATTCCATCACATATATACACTGCATTTTCTTTATCCATCCATCTACAGACATGTAGGGTGATTGCATGTTTGGCTACTGTGAGCAATGCTGCAGTATGAACTTGAGAGTGCAGATGTCTCTTTGACACATCGATGCCATTTCCTTTGGATATGTACCCAGTAGTGGGACTGCCAGAGCTGGGATTTGAACCCGGGCAGCCAGGCCCTGGAGCTTATGCTAAGATCTATCTTTTGCTTCTTAACAACTTTCTGTGAGCCTCTGGCACGTCACAGGCCCTCAGTAAATGGTAGCCATAATGTCACTATCACCATCACCTATGGCAACGAAGATTAAAGAGTCTCGCTGTCCTCCATAGCAGAGTTAATCTGGAAGACAATAGATGGTGCTTTCGTGGCTCAAGGACACATTGAGTACCCCTCTGGCTTCAGGGGCAGTAGGCACATGCATGTACACATACACACACGTGTGCACATGCACGCACACACACCTCTGTCAGTATCTCTCTGCAACAAAACTCAGGTTTCTCCAAGAAGAGATAAAGGGACCGGGCATTTCCCATCTTATCTGCAGGCCTTTCTCTTGCCATCTCTGCCAGCCCCAGCCTCAGGCACTTCCTACAAGGCTGCCCTTTGACCCCATATCCCAGGCAACATAGCCTTTGGCCAAGAAGGCACTGTGAGTATAAGGTGTTTATTGCAAACAAGCTTTTAAGAGGCTTGTCAGAAACAATGAGACAAAACCATTGAGAAGGTTTATGTTGGAGGGCTTCTGTCCAAGCTAGCTCATTCTGCCAAGACAGTGACTAGGATGGAAATCTGAATGCCAGTGGCAGCCACTTTCTTTCCCTCCTTCAAACTTCTCACAGTCGAATCCACAGACCCAGGCTGGTGGGGAGCGAGGGTAGGGTTGGAGGTAGCCACTTCTAAAGACTGACAGACTGGCTCACAGGCCAGCTCTGCCACCCCAATCCCCCATGGCCTTGGGGACTCTCTGTGTCCCACCAGGGCACAGTCTCTGGATCTGTAACCATGGATGTGGTTGACTGGATAATGGCCTCCAGAGATGCCCACACCCTAATCGTCAGAACTGTTGAGTACCACACATGGCAAAAGGGACTTTGTAGATCTGATTGAGCCAAAGCTCTTGAAGTGGGAAGATTATCCTGAATTACCCAAATGGGCCCAATGTAATCACAAGTGTCCTCAAAAGTGATGGGGAAGACAAAAGAAAGTGACAGAGGGAGATCTGAGTACAGAAGAAGAGGTCAGAGTGATGCAATATGAGAAAGACTTGACC